GGGCCCAGGAAGACTCGTGGGACTTCTGACCCGGGTCAGTCCAGACCCGGGTCAGTGAGGCCATACAGACTCCTGCAAGATCCTGCACCCAAACCCGGGTCCATGCGAAGGATCCTGCAGAATCCTGCAGGATCCTGCACCCAAGCCCGGGCCAGTGGGACCCTGGCCTCTGCAGGATCCTGCAGGATCGGGCGCTCTGGCTGACCCCCGTCTGCATGGACCCCCGTCTCGAGGCTCCCGAGGAAGGCCGGGAGGGCACTCTCTCGGGCGCCACCGCGGAGAGCACCCGCGGAGACGGCTGCGTGGCGGGGGGGCCAGGGGTCAGGGCCACAAATCTGCGGGGGAGGCGGTGGACGAGGGAAGGCCGGAGCAGGGCTGAACCTGGACGGTGTTGTTCGTTTTCGTTTTGCTCTGGCTCTCCCTCGCATTTGTCTTCAGCCCGCCTTGGCCGCAGAAAGAGGTCGAAATGAGAACGGCCCACGAAATCGCCCAAACACCGTTTGGGTCCAGCCCTGGGCTGGAGCTGGGTATGACGAAGCCAGGACGAGGGCGAAGTCAGCTGAGGATAAGCCGAGAATCTCTGAGATCCGGCGGCTCTGGAGGATGCATCGGGCGTCGCGGCCTTCTCGGACCGTTCTGGAGCGCTCTGAGAGTGTTCCAGGAAGCTCTGGAACGGATCTGCCCTCGTCCTGGCCCCGTCCGAGTGGAGAAAGGTGGGGATCGCGTCACGCGAGGGGGCCTCTCCCACGCCGCTCAAGATGCCTCCCTGCACGGCGGCGCCATAGGCGACGGCCTGGCGCGGGGCAGCAGTCTCGCACCAATGCCGACTGGAACAGCTCGCGAGGAGACCAGAGGATAGCATTCCGCTCTTCGCCACCACCCTCCATATCCTGCTCCTGCGATGGATCAGCCTCCTTACACATAAACACCTCCCTGTCGCACCACTAGACCAAGGGCTCCCAACATCGCGCTTCGCGCTGCGCGAAGCGCGAAGTGCGAATAACTTCGCGCTCTCGCGCCGCCTCCCAAGGGAGAAGGGGAGGATGAGGAGGAATCGGAGCCCAACCGCGAAGCGCGAAGCGCGAATAACTTCGCGCCCTCGAGGGCGCCCTTGTAGACATGTCCGTAGGCCGTAGACCAGGGCGGGCGCTTCGCTTGAGACGTCCTGGCAGGTCGATGCCCCGAGCTGACATGTCCCGGCAGTTCTCCAGACATGGGGGGGGGGGGCCGGCCGAGCGCGAAATGCGGCCCTCGCCTTCGCGCCCAGCACACTCGTCTTCCACGCCTGCAGCTATTACCCGGATAGAGGGCCCATCGTTCTCAGCGCGTGGCTCTCGCCTAAGCGCCATGCACACACGCCGGAAACTGTCGCAGCGGCTACACGGACGGAGGGCCCGAGGTATGCAGAATGTGGCCCTCCCTTCTCAAGAGCGGCTCTCGCCTGGGACCTCCTCAGAAGTGCTACAGTCAACCCGTAGAGTAAGGATGCGCGATAAGGATGTAAGGCCCTTGGAAGCCCATTTCAAAGCTTCCGAGCGGGGCGCGACCAACGAGAGTGGCCAAGGATGCACCGAGGAGGCAAAAATGCAAGGGTACCCTTGGGAGGGATGCCTATCCTTACTCTGCGGGTCGACTGTACTACCTCACGCGAAGCATGTGCAACTATTGCACGGATGGAGGACGGCTCATTTTCGAACTGCGGCGCTCGCCCAGAGCTTCGCCTGATGCACTGCCAGAGGCTTCAGATGCGCAACGGCCACGCGGACGCAGGGTGGTTCCTTTCCAAAGCGGAGCTGGAGGGAGAACAACAACGACACAAGCATACACTTCCGAAGGTCCGCGCGGATGCTTTGGATCTACGCTGGAGCCCCCTCCCTGGCGCGCGGAGCGCGATCCGAAAAAACCCAGGCATCCGCGCGGAGCTCCTAAAAGTTTATATGTTTGTGCATGTGTTTTTCTTCGAGGAGCTGTCGTTGGGCACACTCTTTTTTATAATGTTTTTTTTGTTCTCTCTCTCTCTCTCTCTCTCCTGAGCGCTCGGAGGGCCCGCACTTTGTCCCCGTTGCAGGGAAGGCCCCCCGCGTCACAGGGTCGACCGCCGTGGGGCGGTATTTGAGGCGCTGGGGGCGGAGCAGTGCTCCGCCCTCCAGGGGCACAATGGCCGGCGTTGCGGCGCGCGCCAGAAAACTCCTGGCGCAGCCCCCGCCTCGCTCACTCGTCGATCTTGGCCTTGGTGCTCTGGTACTTCTCGTACAGCTGCGCCGCGCCCTCCTTGGCGTCCGCGGGGAGGGCGCACGCCATGCAGTTCATCGTCCTCACGGCCGACCCGCCGTTGCACAGCAGGAACGGCTTCATGAACCCCGGCATCTTCTCCTGCGCCTGCGCGTCCATCTCTTCCAGCGCCTTCTGCGCCATCTCCTTGGCCTTCGCCTTCATGGCCTCCATTGCGGACGCAGGATTTCTGGGCGGTCGGATGCGAAGAGGTCCGAGTCCGAATCGCTTGAGCAAAAATGGCTACGGATGTTGTTGGGCACTCTCTTGAACTCAGGAGCCCAGCCTTGTCACATTTCTTGTGCAATCAACCCGTATTATTAGGATGCGCGGTAAGGGCGCAAGGGCCTTGGAGGCCCGTGCTAACGTTTTTTGAACGAGGCTAGCTAGCGAAAATCGCTAAGGATGGGCCGAAGGGGCAAGGATGTTAGGTTACCCTTGGGAAGGTTGCCCATCCTTGCTACAGTGCAGGCCCGACCACAAGAAACCTTCAACGAGAAACCCAACCCTGAGACCCAAGGACGTCATCTGACTTGTGGTCTGGGAACGTCACGCTGTCCATAGCAAAGCATTCGAAGCCCAAGAAACCAAGGGCACCCTGGAGACAAGCAGGGCGCTTCTTGGCATGGGTCTCCAATGTACACTTGGGAGGGAGGGGGAGGAGGACGGGGAGGAGGAGGAGGAGAAGGAGGAGGAGAAGGAGACGGAGGAGAGGGGAGGAGGAGTATTGTCCCCAGAGTAGTATTTGACTATTCTTGATTTGCCCCTGTAGAGGGAAATGCCCGACTTAATCCAAAGGGGAGGGGCGCTTTGCGAAGGCGCGGCCTGCCTGCGGTGACACACGAAGGACCCACAGCCTCAGCTGTTCACGAGAAACTCTGCGGACACGCGCAGTGCAAACCTGGGCCCAGAACTAAAGTTAGGTCGGGCGTGTCCCCCTACAGGCGGATTTGGGAGGACAAAATACAACATACCCAATTACTCGACGTGGAGATCCCCATATGTGCATCTCATAGTGATGGCAAGCTTCGGTAGAATTCATTGTCCTTTTCAATATCCCAGTGTCGGGGAATCCACGTGAAAAACTAGGCCGAGAGAGACGCCGACGACTACGAACTACGACGACGTTAAGCAATTGCCTCCTCTTTCTCCAAAATTCTCTATGAAGACGAGAACGGGCCCGTGCAATACCCCCATGCGCCCCCCTCCCCCCTGGGAGACCGAAACCAGCGCCTCGCCTGAGACATCATTGGAACCTGCTCCGAACGAGAAGGATGTTTAGCACCCAACCAGGCAAACCGCCTGAGAGACATCCCCCCAAGATGGGCGCGAGCGGGCCTGTGATATACCCCCCTGGCGCCCCCCCCCTGGGAATACCGAAGCCAGCGCCTCGCCTGAGCCATCCTCGGAAACTGCTCCGACAGGGCAGGATGCTGGACACCCAACCAAGCAAACAGTCGGAGACATCCGTCCAATCTGGGCACGAACGGGCCCATGGCCTCGCCTGGGACATCCTCGGAAACCGCTCCGAAAGAGAATGACGCTGGGCACCCAAACAGGCAAACCGCCCGAGACATCCCCCCAATATGGGCGCGAACGGGCCTGTGATATACCCCCTGGCGCCCCCCCCCCTGAGTACTGAAACGAGCGCCTCGCCTGAGACATCATCGGAACCTGCTCCGAACGAGAGGGATGCTGAGCACCCAAACAGGCAAGCCGCCTGAGACATCCCCCCAATCTGGGCGCGAACGGGCCTGTGATATACCTCCTGGCGCCCCCCCCCCTGGGAGTACTGAAACTAACGCCTCGCCTGAGACATCCTCACAACGTGTGTGTGGGTATGAGTGCGGAAGTACCAGGAGTGTGAGCGAGTCTGCATATGAGTGATCCCGAGCATGAGAAACCTGAGTATCAAGAATGTAAGAGCGAGTGCAGGTGAGTATGAGTGAATTTGAATATGAGTGAGTCTACGCGTGAGTGGGTCAGAGAATGATGACTTGAAGGTGGGAGGTGTGTGTGTGTGTGTGGACTCGTTCTCCGCTCGGTCAAAGTACTGCGTATTCACTGCGTGGAGCTCCCCATGTGTGCATATATTCGCATGGACATGCCCGCCGTGAGTCTAGGCGCAAGAGTTTTCGAATGTAAGCGGGCTTGAGTTGTGACGGCCTGGTCACGAATCTAACTTCGAACGGATTGGAGCGTGAATGAGTCGCGGTAGTACGAGCGCGTCTCTGCGCATGAGCATGGGGCCTCCTGGGGCCTCCAGAAACCTCCTGGGCCGTCCTGGGGCCTCCAGGAGCCTCGTGGGGCCTCCTGGGACCTCTTGGGGCTTCGAGTGACCTGCTGAGACCTCCCGGAGCCTCGCGCAGCATCCTGGAGCCTCCTGGAGCCTCCTGGGACCTCCTAGGGAGGATTCGTGCCCCAGGGGAAGACTGAGCTATAGAAACAGACGTACATAAAACATTGCGGATTGGAGCCACAGGACAAGGGCTGCCTATAGGAGCACACTTAAAACACCAAGGACTCGTGCCTAGAATTGTACACACAGGAGAAGGACAAACTCCAGAACAATACATGTAACATCAAGGATTCGTGCTCCAGGTGGGGCCCAAACGATAGGAGCATACGTAAAACACATGGGATTGGAGCCACTCCTGTTGCCTTCTGAGGCCTCCTGCTCCTAAGGCCTCTCGGGGCCTCCTGTTGCCTGGGCCTCCTGCTGCTTCCTGTGACCTCCTGGGGCCTCCTGTGGCTTCCTCAGGCCTCCTGGAGCTTCCTGGGGCCTCCTGGAGCCTCCTGGGACATCCTGTGGCCTCTTGAATCTTCCTGTGGCCTCCTGATGCCTCCTGGGACCTCATGTGGCCTCCCGGGGCCTCCGGAAGCCTGCTGGAGCCTCCTGTGGCATCCTGGGGAGAATATGTGCCCACGAGTCTGGCCACCAAAACAGGCAAACCGATCGAGACATCCTCAAAATCTGGCCCCCATGGGGGGGGCGAAAATGCGCGTCTCGCACGAGACATCCTCCAAATCTGCTCCGAAAGCGGAGGATGTTGGGGACCAAAACAAGCAAACCGCCTGAGACATCCCCGCCATTTGGGCGCAAACGGAGGCCGTGATATACCCCCGGCGGCCCCCCCTTAGGAGGCGCCTCGCAAGAGACATCCTCAAAATCTGCTCCGAAAACGGAGGATGTTGGGAACCAAAACACACCATTTGGACGCGAACGGAGGCGGTGAGATACCCCTTGCGCCCCCCCTCAGGAATGCTAAAACCAGCAAGCCGCTCGAGACATTATCATGCTCATAATCATCATCATCATCATCATCATCATCATCATCATCATCATCATCATCATCATCATCATCATCATCATGCTCATCATCATGCTCATCATCATCATCATCATCATCATCATCATCATCAGCATCATCATCATCATCATCATCATCCTCATCCTCATCCTCATCCTCATCCTCATCCTCATCCTCATCCTCCTCATCATCATCATCATCTGCTCATCGTCATCATCATCATCATCATCATCATCATCAGCAGCAGCAGCAGCATCAGCATCAGCATCAGCATCAGCATCATCATCATCATCATAATCATCAGCAGCAGCAGCATCAGCATCAGCAGCAACATCATCATGCGGATCCATCATTCACCATCAACATCATACTCACATCAGACTCTCACCATACCATGGTCATCATCATGGTTTGGGTGGTCCGGCGCGGTCGGAGAATAACCAACAATAGCGGGAAACAGAACCAACAGTAGTCAACAAATAATCAAAGATCGTCCCCTGACCAAGTTTTGACTATGTCTGACTACTCCTCCTGCAGAGGGACGTGCCCGACTTAAAACTAGAGGCCTCCTAGATGGGGCCCGAGTAGATGGGGTCGAAGGATCGCGCCGCATCGCCACTGCTTCGCCGATGTATCGCCGATGCATCGGCGATGCATCGGCGACGTCGGCGATGCATCGGCGGCGTCGGCGTGGGGCAACCCGTGCTCCACACCGAGCCGCATCTTCGAGGCGTCGGCGGTGCGGCGCGATCCGACCCCGTCTGCTCGGACCCCGCCCGGGAGGCCTCGAAGAACGGCTGCGGAGAGCCCCCGGTGGAAGGCCGGATGCCCACAGCGCCTTCCTGGTTTGCGGAGGGTCCGACGGAAAGACATGCCAGGCGCAGAAGGTGCCATGCGCCGGTGTGGCGATGCGGCGATCGGTGCCGACCTCTTGAGGTCGGGCATGTCCTCCTACCGGCGCATCGTGGAAGGAATATGAAGCATAGTCAAACAAAAATCCCACAACAGTTAACACAGCACGAACATTCCTCCCCAGACTGCTCTGTTTGTTCAGCCGTTCTTGAAGATCCTCCTGCAGAGGGACATGCCCGACTCAACGAGTCCTCTCAAGCAGGAGCGCGACGACCCTCGGCGCGGACGACATGGGTACTGAAATAATGGGCACAGTGCCCAACAACAGTTCCTGGTCATTTTGAACAGGTCTCGCTGTCGGTGTCGCCGCGGCCTGTGTCCGTTTGAGACAGAAGGCCGCCTGCGCAACAGTGGCCGCTGTTGGTTTGGGGCAGCTGTTGTTGCTGGGCATCGTACCCATTCTTTGCGTGCCAATTTCGGGCGCCCAAAGACCGCAGCGACAGCATCGAAGAGAACAGCCTCCCAAGGGGCAGGCGGAGGCCGCCGCGAGGCTGCGGGCCCAGGGTGCCCCGGCCTCGTCCGGGTTCAGGCCCAGGTTCGGCTCCTTGCCGTTGAAGAAGTCCTTCAGCAGCGACTGCACCTTTCGGAGCAGGAGCGGTCTGTGGGACCGCCGCGAGGGAGGATCGGCCCCACAGGGGCCCAGGTTTGGGAGTTTTTGCTCCTTCCTCGGCTCGATCCGACAGACCCGAACACTCGCGCGCACCAGAATGGCGCGCTGACAAGCGGGCGGTGAGTCCGAGAAGGAATTCGGCGCGATGGTGCGCGAACGTGGGATCAACAATACTAGGCGGATCAATGCGCATCAACTGGGAAGATCGGGGGGGACGCTGTAGACAGAGGAAGTAGCGTTCGATGTCCAACCTGCCCGTGCGAGCACGGACTTCTCGCACCACACACGCACACGTTCACACGCAGTCGCAGCCAACAGCAAGCGCGCACCGCGAGGTCTGAGCTTCCACTGGCTTCCGCTGGGGCCTTCCGCCGAGGCACTGATGTCGACTCCTTCGACCCTCAAATTGGGAGCGGCCAAGAGGGGGTCGTCAAAGAGGGGGGGGGTGCAAATCATGGCCGGCGGCATGTGCGCGGCCCAGGGGGGGGGAGCCAGGGACGTCAAGAAATAAGGAGAGGCGCCATGAGATCTGGGGAAATATCATGGCCCACGCCATGATATCCACCCCCCCCTAGTCATCCCCCCCCTCTTTTCCGCCCCCGAGATGTCGACTCCTTCGACCCTGAAAGGCGAGGCCCTTGCTAGATTGCCTCTCGCGGGATGCCTGGGAGGCAGGCCGAAGGACGACTGCGGCTGCCGAAGGGCAGCGGCGAGCCGCGGAAGGGCCGGAGGATAGGGGCAAGAGGAGCGTCGAGGCCCCAAAGAGGAACCCAGGAAGGAGGTTCGCGAGCGGGTCCCGGGATCGTGCTCCGGAGTCAATCCCAAAGATAACCTCGGGTCGGGTATGTCCCCCTACAAGGGGATTTTGATAATAAAAAAAACACCTCAACAAAACTCAAAACATGCACCAAGATACTAACAAAAAGAGTCACCATCCTGTTTTTTGACTATTCTTGAAGATTCCTCGTGCAGAGGGACGTGGCCGACTTTACATCCCCCAGGACCCCAAAGGCCCCAAGAGGGCCAGATGAGGCCCGCATGGGACCTCTGCGTGGCTCCCAGGAAGCACCAAGGGGCCCCCCAAAGGCCGCACTGCTGCCCTCAGCCGTGCTCACGGCGCCCTCGACCGACAGCCTGGGCACAGTGGCGGGATGTGCCGAAACGAAGGCCAATGGACATCCTCACTACTGCCACCCTCCCGTAACCCTCCTCCGACCTCTATCCTCCTCCATCCTCATCCTGTCCCTCTCCTCCCCAGCGCCGTGGATGACAATGAGGACGACGAGGACAGAGATGACGGCCAGGATGGTGGCCTTTTGGTCGGGTACTGTGCTGCATGGGCCCCCACCAGCGCGCGTATGGTATGGCCCGCCTATGTTATGCGGTCACTGTGCTGCCATGAGGTCGCTAGGCCCTTCCCTTTGATCCCTTCACCGCCAGGTGGGGGGGGGGGGGGGGGGCGGTCCCTGGAGGGGTCCCGACGGAGGATCCCGGTGCGGGAAGGCACCCCTCCCTTGGGGGGGCTCCCTGGAGGGATCGCCCCTCCGACCTGGCGGGGGGGGGTCTTGGGTTCCGGGGGGGCGGCTTCGTCCCCCCGACCCGAGGCAACTCCCGGATGCTATCCCCCCATCCCCCCTCGGGGATCTTCTGACGCGGGTCAATCCAGACCCAGGTCAGCAGGAAACCAACAAACTGCAATATGCAGGGCAAACAAAAACTGCAACGCAGGTCTTCGCAAACCCAGGTCAGCCAATATGCGCGGCCGCCTCGCGGCCACGAGCGGGTCGTTAACCCGGGTCAGCCAGAGGGGGTCTTCGCAGGATCCTGCAGGAACCGGTGCCCTGGCTGACCCCCGTTTGCATTGACCCCCGTCTCTTGAGCCCCGCCCACGGGGGGGGGGGGGGCGTGGTCCCGGGGAGGGGGGATCCCTGGGGGGGAGGGGGTCGCCCCCCCAAGAGATCCCTGCAAAGGCCTCAAGACTGCTCCCCAGAAGCTCCCGAGAGCGCTCCGCAGAGACCGCAACAAATACCCCTGCCGACTCGAACCCGCGTCAGCGTCGTCGTCGCCGTCGTCGTCGTCGTCCCTCTTCAGGGTCGGCGGCACCAGCCGTCAGACCGTCGCAATAAAGAACGAAGGGGCTTCTCTGCCCATGGCAATCCTTGGTCACGGAAAACGACGCCAGAGCCACCCCTGAACCCCAAAGTGGTACTTCTGCCATCGTTTTGACCGTGAGGCACTTCCCCCCAGACTTCCTAAGCCAATTTGGCCCGAGGCGCATCCGATACCGACGCCGCAACCGCACGCAGGTTGAGCCGATCGAGCCGTGGAGAGCCCTGTAAAAGCATTCGGCGACAGCTTGCCACCAAACCTCGTCCTGCTCGTCCGCTTCGGCCGCCTCCTCCTCCTCCTCCCGCCTGCTGCTGCTGCTGCTGCCCAAGTACCTGCCCGTGTTGCTGTCTGACGCGCGCGGGGACCAGGCGGAGGGAGGTAATCCGAGCAAGGTGCCGCCAAGGGCCCCCCCGGAGAGGGGGCGGCCTGACCCTGACCCGGCTTAGCCACCACCCGCGGCGGAGCTTCCCGAACGCGTGCGGAATGGAAGGAGGGCACCAGCCGTGTCTGGCGTTGGCTTCGGCGCTCGTCCAGGGATGGCTCGGCTGTCGCTCGCACGAGCTACGCATCACTACAATCCGTCTCCAGACTCCACCTCCTCCGCCTTGCCCCCCCCCCAGCACCTCGGGCTTCCCCCTTCGGGCAGAACGCCGAGCAGCCCGGGCATGAAGCAAGCCCGCCTTACGGCGTCGTGCGCCACCAAACTGGATCGGCCCGAGGCCTGAGCACGCCCTGCGGAAAAAAACACGCTCAGTGGAGAATACACACACACACACACTGTGCGTGTGCGTGTGCTCATGCCTGGAAAACACACACACACACACACACACACACACACACACACACACACACACACACACACACACACACACACACACACACACACACACACACACACACACACACACACCACACACACTATTGTGATGCTCATTCCTGGAGCAACAAACACACACTGTGCTTTTTTTCCTCGCAGACACACGGTGCTTTCAACACACGCACTTACACACTGTCTGCGTGTGTTTTTCCCACCAGCAGGTGTATTTCTTCTCTCTCTCTCTCTCTCTCACACACACACAGACGCACACACACACACACTCTCTCACACACACACACGCTGTCAAGGTTCATTCCTGGAGGGGGCCATCTGGGCTAGCAAGCCCGCACCGACCGCCGCCGTGAGAGCAGGCACGACGTGCCAAGAGCGCCTCCTCGCTGCGGCGCGGCCGACCCCCAGTGGGGGGGCACCCGCAGCTCGGCGGCGAGAGAGGGGGGGAAGTGTTAGGTCGGGCATGTCCTCCTACAGGTGGATCTTGGACGAAAAATGAAAGATAACCAAAACATACTCAAGCATAGTCAAAACATAGTCGAAACATCGTCCCGACTATTATCATACTATTTGTATAGATTCCTCCTGTAGAGGGACACGCGCGACTTAAGGGAAGCGAGAAGGAGAAGGTCTTCCCAGAAGGCTCGGAAGATCCCCGGCCTCCCGAGAAATTGTCTGAGCCTTCCCCGAAGACGCAGAGAGCTCCTCAGGAGGCCCCAGGGCATTCGGAGAGGCCCCGCCGCCTTCTGAGAGGGCACCATCCTTCTCGTTTCCCCCCCTCGCTCGCCGCCGACCCCTGCGGTGCAACCGACTCCCAGAGGGCGGGGGGCACCCGCAACGATTCCCCACGCTGCGCGACGTGCGGCTACCCGTCGCGCCCTCGCGCCGCCCACCCTGGGCAAGGGCAGCTGCGCTGGCCCCGGCCGGTCGCCTCCGTGCTCCCCAGGGGGGCCTGAGGGTTCGTGTTGGAGATCGACCGAAGGAGCAAGTCAAGTATTACTCGACCCAGAAGGGAGCCCAGCTGAAAGGGGGTGGTGCAACAGATGTGGGGCGATTCTGCTGCAAATGTACTGCGCCAGGGAGTTGTCTTGCATTGCATTGCATACGTTTGTGTTGCACGCGGGAAAAAAACAGCAACGCATTTGCGCTCCGGAACGTACTGCACACCCCAAACCTGCTGCAATCGTACAAATTCATCGCGCCAGATCTATGGCACCACCCCCTGTTCGCTGAACCCCTCTCTGAGTCAACCAGGACTCCTCCCCTGGAGCGAGAGCTGAGTGTTCGTTTTTCCAACCGCCCACAGCACGGGCGGCAGAACGCAGCGCCCCGCGCGCGCGCGAGGCGGCCTACGCCGCCGCAGCGGCAGCCGCCTGCAACGCCTCCCGGAAGGCCAAAGAGCACCGGTTTGGCGGCACGCAGAGGAGGGGTGAGGGGAGGCGGGAGGCTGCTTCTTGAAGGCGCCAAGCCTTACATCTATCGATATATATATATATATATATATATATTGAAGGGGCCCAAGGGCACACAAACAAATACACACAAATCCCAGGATTCCCAATCTACGTTTCAATACTCTTGGATTTTCGTCTTCCCGCCCACTTCCCATATTTTCCCATCTGGGAGCCGACGACTGTGTGCTTTTTTCCCCTGCTGCCTTACATCTACAGATGCCCGTCGGTCTGAAGGAGCGCCAGACAGAGGGACAAGAGCCAGACCTGTGAAGTAGGAAGGCGCTTACAGCAGATCAGGACCCCCGAGTCCAAGAATACCTGCTTCAAACGACCGGGGCGCAAGGCCAGCGCCTTCTAAGGAGCAGGGGTGCTTCTCGGAAGCCTTCCCCCCTCCCCCGTTCCCCCCCCCCTCCTCCTAGGTCGGGCATGTCCCCCTGCGGGCGGATTTTGGACAAAAAGTAAAGCAATACCCTCAACAGCATCAAAAACGACTATGAGATACTAAAAAAAAACAATCGACCGCATACTATGTTTTGACTATTTTTGAATACTTCTCCTGTAGAGGGACACGCCCGACTTCATGGTACAACATCGGAGCCTCCCCAGACGAGGGTCTGCTCGACTCGCGGTGCCCAAGTCCCGAACGGTTCTTCGCCCTGGATCGTTGTCGGGCGGTCCTGGGGCCCGGCGAGGCGGGCCCCGAGGGGCCGAAGGCGGCGAGGGCCCCCCTGTCAGGATTGTGCTCACGACGCGAGCAGGTACGAGGCCGATGTGGCATCACAGCAGCAATTCGGCCCCTGACTTTCGTCCTGGATTCGGTTTACTGAAGTGATGAATTTCGGGGTCCTTGGGTGGGAAAAAACATCACTTCACTAATCTGGGGCCCCTGGGGCCTCAGTGGGCCCTGGGGCCCAAAATTAGTGAATTGATAGTCTTCGGGCCTCGGGGACGCGCGAGACTCCGGCTCGGGGGACTCGGGTTGGCCTGACGAGGCCACCATGAAAATGGCGAGAGCCAGTCTGGAATCTCACGCGAGCTCCCGCTGCAGATGTCCCACGGAAGCCGGACCGTCAGAATCCAGGACCTGCTCGCCAAAAAGCTTCGGCGAACCCGAGTTCCGGCGAACTCGAGTCTTGCGTTCGAGTAGGGGATCGACTAACTACCAAATAGATGTGCCCCAAAAATTGTTGTTTCCGTCGAGTCTATGAACAAACACGAAGGATGCTCCGTAGATTCAGGGATCATTCTACGCATTTTTCCGTAATTCGGCGACAGAGCCAATTCTGGGGTTGATCAAGTCTTTGCCATCGCTAGGACGTCCGTTCCCTGTGTATTTTCCTGCCTCGTGCGTACTTTTTTTGTTTTGCCAAATGATCCAGGATGCTACTCGACTGTCGTCGCCGAGACAAAAATGCACACGTCCGGGCGATGCCAGGATTTTCTGTAGTCGATCCCCTAGTCGAAAACCTGGTCTTCCTCCTAAGAAAAGAAAAATCCATAAACATGCAGTTTGAGCGATTCGCGCGGATTTCCTGGGTCTGCGCTGGACCCCCCCCCTCCCTGGCGCGCGGAGCGCGCCAGGGGCGGCGCCGGAGGCGCCGCCAAGAGGGGGCCCAAGCGCGTATCCAAGAGATCCGCGCGGAGCGCCAAGAATTCATGGTTATGCCGTTTTTCCTTCTTCGATTCCTGTTTGGACGCCCGAAATGAGTACGGAAAAAATAGGCACCATGCCCAACAACTAATGTTGTCCAAAACCGACCGCGGCCGCGGTCGGGCAGGCGGCTTGTTGTCTTCAGTGCCCAACGTCCGCGGCGGCGCAGACAGCGAGTCCTGTTCAAAACGAACAGGAAATCCTTTTGTAGAAGTCTCCTGGATGGGGTCGGAGTAGATGGGGTCGAAGGATCGCGCCGCATCGGCAACATCGGCGATGCATCGGCGACTCCAGCGTGGAGAAAATCGGGCTCCACATCGAGCCGCATCGCCGATGCAGCATCGTCGATGCGGCGCAATCCTCCGACCCCATCTACACTCGGACCCCATGTGGGAGGCCGAGCATCGTGCCCACTCTTGCAGTACGCATTTCGATCGTCCCGATCCTGGGAGCCTCGGGGGCGGGCTCCACGCCCAGGGCCGCGAGGCTGCCCAGCACGCCGCGCGCGGCCTCTTGAGCAAGGACCGACCGTCCCAACATTCCTGTAGGCCTACCACAGAGTGTTCTTAGAACCCAGAAAGGTTCTAAGAACGAAAACACTGTATTCTTCGAAGAACATGAGCCAGATGTGCTAAAACAAGACAGTCCCGGCCAGACATGTTCTGAGAACATCTCGTGCAGACCACAAAAGGTTCTCAGAACATTATTTGGTGGGCCTGTAGGCGAGCCAGGACCTTTCGCCAAGGGCTGAACCTAAACGGCGTTTCCTCGTTTTGTCTTCAACCCACCTCTGCCGCAAAACGGAGTCGAAACGAACACGGCCCACAAAATCGCCAAAACACCGCGTAGGTCCAGCACTGTTTTCGCCGCTGCTTGAGCCTCCGCGCCCGCGGGGCTCGCGGCGCAGAGCTGCGCGGTGCGCGCGGCGAGCTCCCGCAGCAGAGGCACGTCGCGGTGCTCCTGCGCCGCGAGGGCGGCGGCGGCCCCCGCGAGGTCCTCGCGTGCTGGGGGGGGGCCTGGCTGGTGCCTGGGGGCGGGGATCGAGGGAGGATCTCGAGCGAGGAGGATCGAGCTCCGAGGAGGGTCGAGGGGGAGGATCGAGCTTCGAGCAGGATCTCGAGGGAGGAGGATCGAGCTTCGAGGGCATCGAGGGAGGAGGAGGATCGAGCTTCGAGGAGGATATCGAGAAAGGAGGATCGAGCTTCGAGGAGGACATCGATGGGGAGGATCGAGCTTCGAGGATATCGATGGGGAGGATCGAGCTGCGAGGAGGATATCGAGGGAAGGAACGAGCTTCGAGGAGGAGAAAGGGAGGAGGATCGAGCCTCGAGGAGAATTTGAGATTCCAGGAGGATCGAGAATCAAAAGCTTCGGCCTCCTGGGGGCTCGCTCTGGAACCCTGGGCCGTCAAAATTGGATCCCGGGGGTACTGGGGCGCACAGGGACCTGCTGGTGCTACATGTCCCCCTCGGAGGCGCGCGTTCGACCCGAACACATGGCACAACCACCTTGTAGTGTGTGCGTGTGTGTGTGTGTTGTGTTGTGTTGTGTTGTGTTGTGTTGTGTTGTGTTGTGTTGTGTTGTGTTGTACTGTATTGTATTGTGTATTGTATTGGATTGTATTGTATTGTGTTGTGTTGTATTGTATTGTATTGTAGTGTAGTGTATTGTATTGTATTGTATCGTATTGTATTGTAGTGTATTGTATTGTATTGTGTTGTATTGTAGTGTAGTGTAGTGTAGTGTAGTGGAGTGGATTGGATTGTATTGTATTGTATTGTATTGTATTGCATTGTATTGTATTGTATTGGATAGTATTGGATTGTACTGTACTGTACTGTACTGTACTGTACTGGATTGTATTGTATTGTATTGTATTGTATTGTATTGTATTTGTATTGTAGTGGATTGAATTGTATTGTATTGTATTGTATTGTGGTGTGTTGTGTTGTGTTGTGTTGTGTTGTGTTGTGCTGTGCTGTGCTGTGCTGTGCTGTGCTGCGCTGTGCTGTCCTGTGCTGTGCTGTGCTGTGCTGTGCTGTGCTGTGCTGTGTTGTGTTGTGTTGGGTTGTGTTGTGTTGTGTTGTGTTGTGTTGTGTTGTGGTGTGGTGTGGTGTGGTGTGGTGTGGTGTGGTGTGGTGGGCTGTGTGCTGTGTGCTGTGTGCTGTGTGCTGTGTGCTGTGCTGTGTGCTGTGTGCTGTGTGCTGTGTGCTGTGTGCTGTGTGCTGTGTGCTGTGTGCTGTGTGTTGTGTGTTGTGTGCTGTGTGTTGTGTGTTGTGTGTTGTGTGTTGTGTGTTGTGAGTTGTGTGTTGTGTGTTGTGTGTTGTGTGTTGTGTGCTGTGTGTTGTGTGGTGTGTTGTGTGTTGTGTGTTGTGTGTTGTGTGTTGTGTGGTGTGTGTTGTGTGTTGTGTGTTGCGTGTTGTGTGTTGTGTGTTGTGTGCTGTGTGCTGTGTGTTGTGTGTTGTGTGTTGTGTGTTGTGTGCTGTGTGCTGTGTGTTGTGTGCTGTGTGCTGTGTGCTGTGTGCTGTGTGCTGTGTGCTGTGTGTTGTGTGTTGTGTGTTGTGTGTTGTGTTGTGTGTTGTGTGTTGTGTGTTGTGTGCTGTGTGTTGTGTGTTGTGTGTTGTGTGCTGTGTGTTGTGTGTTGTGTGTTGTGTGTTGTGTGTTGTGTGTTGTGTGCTGTGTGTTGTGTGTTGTGTTGTGTGTTGTGTGTTGTGTGTTGTGTGCTGTGTGCTGTGTGTTGTGTGCTGTGTGTTGTGTGTTGTGTGTTGTGTGTTGTGTGTTGTGTGTTGTGTGTTGGGTGTTGTGTGTGTGAGTGTGTGTGTGTCGTTTCTCGAGCGGTGTGGCCAGAAGGCGCTCGCCATCGAGCATCTGTTCTCTCTAAGATTTCGCGGCACGCCCGTCGCCCCATTGGGGGCGGCGCGCGCACAGTATTAGCATGTTTGGGTGACCCCGAGGCATGGCTGGTCCGGACCATGTGCGCCGTGAGCAAGGAAGGTGCCTGACGCGAATTGGCATAGAAGCCTGACGCCGCAGCTGACGCCGGCCGCCAGCGCGGCGCGCCACGCTGGAGGCGAGGGCACTGCCGCACGATCTTGCGCGGGCCGCTTCCAGGCGGGTGTTGGTGGGGAGAGGCCGAAGCGGCTGGTGAGAGAGGGGGGCCCATTGAGGGCCCCCGTTGGCTCGGAGAACGGCCCCCCACGACGTTTGGGGCCCCTTCTCTTCACCCCCCCTGCCCGTCCCCCCCCCCCCTGAACATTAGGTCGGGCATGTCCTCCTGCAGGCGGATTTCGGAAGGATCACAAAAATAGCCCGAACAAAAACACGTAGTCAAAAACAGTCGAAACATCGTTACCAGACTATTTGTTACAGTCCTTGAACATTCCTCCTGTAGAGGGACGTGCCCGACTTCACCTTAACACCCGCCCGATATCTGCCACATGAAAGCTCACGCGCCCAGACGTCCGGGCTCCGAACAACTCTAAGCGGCTGGTTATTGGCTTTTGTTTTCGGCTCCCAGGGGCCCTCGACGGACCCTGGGACCGTCAAAAACCGACTCAAGATGAAACACCGGCCCAAGGGTAGGTTCCAACGGCGTCGGCGTGCGCGAAGGTTTTCGACACCGCGTCGATCGTTCAATCCTGAATCGATCGCGGCCCCGATCTTTCAAGGTTGAATCCATTCGGGTGTCGCAGAATTCAACCTTGAACGCCTTCGCCGGAGTCGCCGGCGCGCCAGCGCAGCACGAACCTGCCGTAAAGAAGTGTTCCAGAGCTCGGGGGGTTCTGGCGTCCCCTCAAAAATGGAGCGACGGATGTCTGAGCGGCCCCTGGCGCTGTCCGAGTTGGGCCCGATTTGGACCGGACCTGGAACACATCGCTGGGATTAGGTCGGGCATGCCCCCCTACAGGCGGATTCTAGGCGAAAAGTAAAGGATAGTCAAAACATACTCCAACACGGTCAAAATATATCCACCAAATCGTCCCTGGGACTATTTTTCACTATTTTTGGATCTTCCTCCTACAGAGGGACAGGCCCGACTTCACGCTGGGACCAGATCTGGACCGGATCTGGGCCAGACTCGCCCCTTCGCAGGGGAGGCGAAACGAGCGAGAAGGGCGAGGAGGGAACAGGAAGGCGAGAAGGGCGAGAAGGAGGCGAAACGAGCGAGAAGGGCGAGAAGGAACAGGAAGGAACAGGAAGGGAGGCGAAACCAGCGAGAAGGGAGAGAAGGAACAGGAAGAGCGAGGAGGAGCAGTAGGAGTCTTAGGAGGGGCCAACTGCGGTCCAAGGGCAGGGGAAATCTGATGTCTGTGCCGCCGCCCGAGGCTCCCGCGAACAGACCTCAAGGGTACGGCGGCCCCAATCCCCGACTTTGTAGCGGGTTCTCGAATGGACCAGAAGCTTGGAGCCCAACTCGGGGACGGGACGTACGACGGAGGTGCTTCCGAACAGCCCCGCGGGCGTGTCACCCGAGTTCCCCAACCCGCTGCCTGGGCTACTAGAGTCGACAGAATGGCATGACCTTCTGAGCATTCCCCTCGCGACTGCTCCGTTTCAGCGAACCACAGCAGGAGCCACGAGTGTGCTTGCCGTCCAGCCCACGCGTCCCCCAGGATACATGGCTTGCTTGGTGAGAGTTTTCTCACTCGGCGTTTCGACACTGGGCGGAAGGGGGGGGAGGGGGAGGGGGGTCCAGCTCTGGACCTCTGCTTGGCGCGATTGTTTGCAGCAGTGCGTCCTAATTACGGGGGAGACTCCACCTGCTCGAGACGGGCGCCGAACCAGCCCAGATCTACTCCATAGGGGAGGGTGCGAGGGCCCGCGCCGATCGGCAAAACTAGGGGAACAAAAAGTGACGTAAACATAACAAACTCGGAGGTCCGCGCGGATTTCTCGGATCGGCGCTGGACCCCCCTGGCGGCGCCTCCGGCGACGCCCCTGGCGCGCTCCGCGCGCCAGGGAGGGGGGTCCAGCGCCGATCCGAGAAATCCGCGCGGACCTCCGAGCATTTATGTTTATGCCACTTTCTGTTCCCCTAAAAACGTTGGACAAGAAAACGATCACCCTGACCCTGCTTCGGGGATGGACAGACCCCCCTTTAGTAAAACGTGGTTTAGTGAAAACGACCTGAGGCCCAAACCTGGCGGGCGCAAGCCTGCAATATAACGGCCGCGGCGCCCTCTCGAGAACCGAAAACGGACAATTCACGAATCGACGTGTCGCTGTTGGGGGTTCTCTCCGCCCCCGATCCGTAGGGGAGGGTGCGAGGGCCCGCGCCGATCGGCAAAACGTTGAACAAGAAACCGATCACCCTGCCTAATCCTCGGCGCCTGCATGCTTCCTGGGGGCGACCTCGCCCGCCTGCGCTCTCTGGGGGACGCGCCGGCCCGGGCCCGTGCAGACCAGGATCCTGCGAGATCCGGCGCCCTGGCTTTATGTCGGGCCTGTCCCCCTACAGGGGGATGTTCGACGAAAAGCAAAAAAATACCCCAAACATGCCCCAAAAAGGTCAAAGAATACTTTTGAAATAGTCCCCAGACTATTTGTTGACTATTTGTTAACTATTTTGGGAGTACTTCTTATTTTTCGTCGAAAATCCCCCTGTAGGGGGACAGGCCCGACTTAACCCTAGCTGACTCCCGCTTGCACTGACCCCCATCATCCCCTGCTCGGCATCGCTCCGACGACCGCTCCCTGTGTTCGTTTCGGTCTCGGTCTCGTGCGCAGGGGCCCCTGCTTCGGTTTCTCGTTTCGGTTTCTGTTAATTACGGCTTCGACAGCACCCCGGCCACGGCTCTTCGCTGCCAGACGATCCAGGATCTGCTCCTCGACTGCACTCGCTGGTGGACAACGTGCACACGCCCGCGCGACGCCGAGCTCGAGCCCCGACGGTCCTCGAGCTCCAGGGCGCCGGGCTCCGCCTGGAGCTGCGCCCACAGCTTCGCCGCCACCCGGCCACACAGGGCCGGGTCTCGCACGCCGGCGCTGCCCACCGCGCCCAGCACCCGCACGGCGTGCGCCGCCGACAGCTCCCAGAGGGCGTCCGCCGCCTCTCTGCCGAGGTGTGCCATCACGTCGCGGAGCTTGGCCGGGCTCTTCAGTCGCCGCGGGAACACGTCGGACAGGACGAGCAGCGCGTGGCCGGGGATGCCGCTGGCCTCCTGGGCCTGCGTCGCCGCATGGCCGTACACGTCCAGGCCGCTCCGGATGCCCGGCTGGTGGACGTCGAACATCCGCGTGACAATGGCCAGCTCCAGGGGCCGAAACAGGTGCATGGACTGTATGCAGCGCTTCGCCATCACCTCCCAGAACGGGCGCGGGAACTGGCGCTCGGGCTCGTTGAGGACGTCCTGTGCTGTCTCCAGCAACTTCACCCTGTCCGCCAGCACGAGCACCTCTGGGGAAACCAAAAGGTACCGATACGGCTACTCCCTGGACCTCTTCCCAGGTGCGTTCTGACCGGAATTTCGAGGCGAATCCAGCGGTGGCGAAGGTGGTATCCCAGGAGGCTCAAAAAGGGGAAAACGAGGGAAGGGTAGCGGTAAGGGTACCTTTTTTCCCCCCCTGAACCTCATTAAAGTGCTTCTTCTTCTCTGTGAACCGAGGCTTCAGGTGCCGGAATGGCCCGTCGGTGGTACCACCACCGCCACTGCCTCCCCGGCCGAACCTGCAGAGGCCGCGGACCGCGCACCGACACCAAACGTGACCAGGCCTGTCCTGGGCCCTGGATTGGCTCGCACTCTATACGGGCTGCCAGCCTGGCAAAGCGAGCTGCACAGCCAGGAGTGTGGGGGAAAGGACTCCCGAAGTGGCACAAGACTGCTGCCCAGGGGCAACAGAGCGCAAGCTCAGA